TTTGTTTGACTTTGTTTTACATAGAAATTGTCCATTAAAGTAAAAAAAATTACAATTGGTTATGTCATTTGTTTCCATTGCAAAAAAAAAATGAGCAGCTGGCTAGAAAATATTTTCCCACATGGAAAACATGGAAAATGCTGACGTGGCGGATGGGGTGGGAAAACATTTTTCGTGGAAAATTTAAACTGTCAAACAGTGCAAAAGATGGAAATCGAAAAAAATTTTCCTAGTTCCCTGGAAAATTTCACCAATCAAACAAGGCCTTAGTCTTTAGCCACTGCCAATGCTTGACAGGAAAAATAACGAGGCAAAATTTACCTTTTTAATGATTTACGCAAGATTAAACAATCTTTTTACTAAAATGTTGCTGCAATAATCATAAATCATACTTACAAATCAACGGACTGTAAGAATAAATTTTAAAGGGTTTTCATCCAACTTATATCGTGGTGATTTACTCATTAAAGTTCAAAGTGCTTTATAGTGCTCAATAAACTTTTCCCTTTTTCACTCCATCCATCATTCTCAAAAATCCGTTAGTGATTCGTTGACGTGGATAACAGAAATTTCATGTCACATGTTACAGCATTTAAAAAATTACAACTAGCCAAATCAATATTTCATTGCTCATCTAACTTATACTTGGTCACGATTTGCACATCAAACTTTAAAATAATTCTCAATGATCACTCATATTTGAAATGTTGCACTCCATCATCAGCCTAGATTTCATTCCCTTTGTTGTTAACGTATCTCACGAAAATCTCACTTCACAAGTTACGATCATTAAAAAATTTACAACTCAGCCAAACTACCAACTCACCAAAATTACCATATATAAAATGCAACTTCTACGACCCATAAACTTATTCTTCAAGCCCCAATAATGCGTCCCCAATTTTAGTCCTAGAAAACCCTAACCCTCAATTCCCTCATCTCACCTAAGTACAACTGAATTGTGTATTGAGACGGAATCGATTGTTGATAAGGATGTGTGATGCTACTAATTACAAAGCCTTATCCTCCAATTATATCATCTGCTCGACGTTTCTCTAATTCTAATCTTACATTTTTGAAGGCATTTGTTCAACTATTTGAGGAATGTATGGCCATTGAACTCTGGCCAAATTGATGAATGAGGAACTACAGAAACACAAATACAGCCTAGAAGTCATCGGAGTTCGATAATATGTCATCCCTCAAATAGTTGGACACACGCCTGTAGAAATGGAAGATTGGAATTAAAAAGACATTGAGCAAATGGTACAATTAGGGAGTAGAACCTTATAAGGAATAGTTTCTTGCATCCGTCTCAACAATCGACTTTATCTTATTACACAATTTAGTTGAATGTGGATGAGACTAGTGAATTAGGGGTTAAAACTTTTTAGGATTGAAATTGGGGACTCTTCATTGGGACTAAAAGAAGTTTATAGGACTGTGAAAGTTGCATTTCACATATGGTGATTTTGGTGAATTAATAGTTTGGCTGAGTTGTAATTTTTTAACTATTGTAACTTGCTACGTGAGATTTTCGTGCAATAAATTAGCAACGAATGGAAAAAACCTGACGAATAATGGATGGAGTCAAACATATCAAAGATGAATGATCGTTGGGAAGTATTTTGAAATTTGATGAGTAAATCGTGACCAAGTTGGATGAGTAATTAAGCATTGGTTTGATTGAGTTGTGATTTTTTTTTTTAACGATCGTAACTTTTCGTTAGCCATATCAACGAAAAAGGTAACAAATTTTTGAAGGTGATGGACAAACGGAAAAAGTTTAATGAGCACTATGAAACACTTCGAAATTTAGTGAGTAAACCGCGACCATGGTATAAGTTTGGTAATTGCTGAAATATTTAACTCTAAGAACTTCGTGATTTATTTGGCATTTTTATTTGTACGAAGTGGATCTTACTTTTTCTGTGTTCATATTGAAAAGTGGAAAGTCCACTTCTTGGATTTTTTCACTTACAAAAATTCATCTGATTCGTTGGCTAAGGCAGAATTAGGGCATGAATGGGCCCCTTTTAAGGTTCCTATTCAATCAAGAAAACCCGTAAGGTTTCTAATTTGTTTAAGCAGATATTAGGTGATTAGTAAAGGCACTTTATATTCAACTATCAAAAGCAGTATAACAATTGGTCTTCAGTTTTCCTCTCTTAACTTTTTCAACCATATCTTCATCTCATGCCTAGTAGTCTAGTATATTTCCCAATAGTTTTTTTACTCATTATGTTTTTCAATACAAGATCTAAAAACCAAAGCATCCAAACAGCAGCAAAGAAACCATTTGATCTTCAAATTTACACTGTAATATCGAAAATCCTTATTGCAGTTCTCCATGGGGATTAACAACTAGTTATTTCATATTAATTACAAGTGCTTAACTAATTAGCAAGAAGAAGAATATAATAATAAGAAGTTGTCACACGATGAATGCCAAAAAATACATTTCAGAACGATTTTCACTACTGTATACACAGAAAAACAAGAATTCCCAAAAAAGGAAAGAACTATCCGAATCATAAGGCTAATCTGTAACTGCTTAATTTCTCGTTTTACTACTATTCCTCAAAAGCCACATAACCAAACAAAATCATGCCAATAGCATATATTTACTTACCACAACAGTTAATCCAATATCAAAACATGTAGATCAAGCACTAGTTACAGAAACTAAGCATTACCGTTGACTGGTTTTCATTCATAACTGTTGCATCTGAGAGTAAACCACTAGGAATTGCAAAGAGAGTCATTGTTGCACAAATACTCTTCCCTTGACAATTTGTTCTTGAACTCTATTGGAATATATGCAAACTCAGCTCACCAAATCATCAGCAAACCAGATCACCAGCTGATCAGTTCAAGTTCAGCAAACTATCTCTCCAGTTCACGTGTTCAGCTCTTCTTTAGTTCTAGTTCCTTCCTTAGTTTGTTATATTGTTAATTTGTTAGATAATTGGTTAGTTTTTCTCTATAAATAGAATAGGTTGCATTCTATTTTCCTTATGCAAGAATGAATGAGAGTTCATCTACTTCCCTTCAACCAGCAGGCCTATCCCCTTTTTATCCTCTGTTTTTTTCCAGTTTGTTTTCTACTTCCTTTCCTTCCTTGATTTCATCAAACTCGAAAAGTCAAACTTCTCAAGTGCTAATAATTGCAGTCATTTCAATCATTCATAGCTAGCTTGCATATTGGAAAGTGTCAGCCAAGTTAACAGGAAGTGAAACAACAGGCTGATTATTTTCTGATAGAAAAGCCCCTGACTTGGTAATACTATCATACCCATCACTTGCATTCGCTTCACTTGGGCTCATTATTTGCAGAAGTGGTATGAGAGATGGAAATATTTCAAGGCGTGTGACATGCTGGTTTCCCTACAAGACATTTCAAACTTCTGTCAACTGATAGAAACAACTAAAAGAAACACAAGTTCAAAGATCTTATTTGTTTCTTTCGTTCATTAGTTCAGTGTTTACCTCAGCCTCGACTATGAAATGTGCCCATATCTTAGTTTCACGAATTTCCATCACTCCCTTCAAGATGAGCAAGCCAAAACCTCGAACTATTTTAGCAATCTCCAAAATGCAACCCTGTTCTTCAAAGAGGATATGCAGCAAAAAGCAAATGTGGAGTTGAAGTGGTTGAAATGAATGCTATAAAGATGTGTTGTGTGTATGCAAATATGAATGCGTTGTTTCATTTACCTCTATAAGCATTTGGCCGGGTCCTCGACTACCAGAGGACAAACCATAGTCTGATCGCTAACTTCACATGCCAACGTAACTCCACCACTACTACTGCTCGAGTTATCATTTAGAGATGAATTATGCCACCCAAGTTGGTGAATATTTGAAATAACTCAAAAGCATATCCATTTTCCAAATAATCAAGGTAATGGAGTAAAAATAACATAACATTTTACCTTTGACTTATCAGTAAGTTTAACACTTCGTCTGGTGAGACTCTGCATGAAATTCAAGTGTCTAATAGTTCGTTCCAACAAATGATCAATGCTCATATGTTGAATCAGTCAATTGCCAGTCAAAAACTAATATACACGACATGATTTCAAGAAAAAATATTTATGTCTCAACTCATTTTTGGATGATCAATTCTTTCAATTTCAAAAGGCTTTTCTCAAATAGGATAGACGCATTCCATCTCAATTTTGTCTCTTTTTCTAAAGAAAAATAATAATTTACTTACCTTGTCACCGTTGGGAATGAGTTCCCTCAATTCTGCAATACGATCTTGGATCATTTGACGATCTTTTGGCCTGGGACGAGTTCCTGGTTTGGCCTTCTTCTTCACAGTCTGTAAACATTCCTCATTCCTCATTGGCGAATAAGAGTTTCCAGTATTCATCCTAGAGCTATCACCAATCAACGAACCAGCTTCTTTTGTGCAGGTACCATTATTGGGTTCAAGGATAATTCTTTTGCAGGGATTATATATAGGTTTAAGAGGTTTCATTTGCCCATCAAAGGTAGGAAAACCTTGAAATTTCACTTGGTGCTGGCTCTGCAAGTAATTCTCAATTTTTCTTCTTTCAGCATTGGATGATACTTGATCATCAAATTCGGATATGGAAACTGATGAAAAGCAACTAGGGATGCCATCAAAAAGATGATGATCAAGTCCTAATTTAGAGAACAAGTTGTTAGTTGTCCTAACTTTGGATCCAATATGTTTCTCTTATGTACATTCCGAGTTATTGCTATTCACAACTGACTTTAGGTTTTCATTATGATCTTCTGGCCTTTTACACACAGGATCCTCCTTAAAACTGTAAAACAGCTCGTCAATGCCAGAGATTTCAGTACATTTCTCTTTTCCAATACAATAAAATGCATCTTTGATTGAACTTTGTAATGAATAGGTTGGACAATTTTCTGACATGTTTTTAGAGGAGTTGTGTCCATTCAAATTGACTACCGGGATTAATCCTGCAGCATGTGATAGGCTATTACAGAGTTTCATAGCAGATGAAGTAATGCTTTCATCTGGCAGAGAAGAAAACCAATGAGAAAGGTCATCCGCAGGGGACGTTTTAGAGACAGCCACTGTAAAATCACTTGTCGGGAACAAATCCTCAAATGTGGAAAAATTAAATGATCTCTGACCTTGGCCATCAATTGAATGGAGTAACAAGTTAGAATTTTGATTATTCGACGAATCTTCAGAGAATGGATAAGAGTGCAATGAAATGTAATTGCTTGTTCTTGTGAAAAACGCATTGCTCCTCAGTTCACATGGAAAATCATGCCAAGATGAAGTAAACACAGGATATCTTCTTACACTGCTAGATGCTTGAGTGGAGAAATCAATGCAAGTAGCAGACTCTAGAGGCAACTGCTGCAATTGAATCTCATCCTTGGAAAGAGAATATGTAGAATCTGTTGACCCCAAAAAATGTAGCCAATAGATGTCGGGCCCACTCGTGCACGTGCAAGCCTTGTCCAGCACGCATGTGCCGAAGAACGATCAGAAAGACTCCAGAAGGTGGGCGTGGGAGGAGCTCGCCGCACAAGACGTCAGAGTTCGGGCCTCCGGCAAGATAGATGGAACGATTGTATAAGAATCCAATCCATGAATAACGAGATTTGTAATTGTAGATCTGTAGTTGAAATATACGTTGAAGAGCGAGAGGAAAAATATTGCTCCAAATGTTTTTGTATTCTTTTTATTTGGTGTGAGAAGTTTCATTACCCTTTTTGTGTTACATGTTGGGGTATTTATAGTGTTACAAGTCTAATAATGACCTTTGGATCAATTTACACATGGCCTCATCTCCTCGGCCAATGCATCAAGTCCTAGCCATCAAGTTGACCCTCTAGACATACACAGCATTAAATGTTCTTACATTGACAAGACAANAATAGCCAGGGTTTCGGAATCCACGTCAGAGGCTAGGAGAATATATCCTGGCCTAAATAAGCTGGTCCCACCACTGAAGTATGGTGCCACGTGTCGCCTCTATATTATGACTCGTAACAATTGTTCCCCAAGTCCATGTGTAGTCATTTATGTCATGCGTGGACTTTCAGTAACAAAGTTAGAAAAAGTTTGAATTTTGAATTTTTTACGATATCACAGAATCAATGGTATTCATGAACTGGTGGTCTGAAGCAAAAGGAAAGGATTGCGGGAGAACTACTGACGAATGACTTGCATCCGCCAAATTTGCATATTCTGCACCATGTTGAATATCGTGAAAGGAAGAACTCCCATGTGATGCCAATGTAGTGAACGGCTATTTGTACCAAAAATCTTGCTATCTGACGATGAAGTTTCGTTTTCGGATGGTACTTTGACCTTTACCCATTCCTCTAAAAGATTCAGTTACTTGATCGACATATCCCTTTGTTTCTGGAATCTGCAGTGAATAATCTATGCTACCAATAAAAAGACACTCTGCACAGAAGCATCTTATTTTTTGAAGTCGGGACGTGATAGCAGATGACGGAACTAACCTTCCGAGTGGACCCAAAGTGAACCACACCAAATGGTTCTGCTGATATTGCTGCAATCGTCTGCAAATTTAATTGGATTACATTTGACATGGTTTAGTACCTTAACTAACAAAATTAAACCATGTATTTATGCACCTACTACAGAAATGTCACATCGTAGGAAGATCTTGTACAAAAGATTTCTTGAAAGAGATGAGGTGGGAGATGCCTTTTATCAATCAAGAAAGCTAATTGCCTCGAATTTTCTCCCAGCAACATGTGCAATACCTCGGCTGCCCATGGAGGGGTCAACCCCATCATGACACCTTGACGGAAGCAATGCATCACATCGACTACATTATATATATTGCCTTACCTCGACTAGGTAGTATTATGATATGGAGTGTGGACCTGATTTGCTTGCTAACTGACTGTCACTTGACGGTGATATGGAACCTCAACATACGAGGTGTAATAGTTTTCAAGAATAGAAGTAACAAATAAAATGGGGAAGAGCAAACATCTTTAATTGTTCGTGTTGGCTGGCTGGGTATTGTTGATTGTTGGATTCAATTTATTTTGAATTTGTTGTTTGCTTTTACACATAACCTGGTGAAGTAACCCTAGACTACCGGCATATTTTTTTCTCAATTATTGTTGTGTAAAGTAACAGATTATTTTCTATCAGAAAAGTAAAAATCAAAGAACATAAATCACACCATTTCACAATTATGTAATAGATGAATTGATGTAGGCCTTGTTGACCCTCTAAATCAAAACTTTGAAAAATAAAGAAAGAAAAATAATGTTTGTAGCTCTAGTAAATATTTGACTCCACCAGTCTACCTTAATAGATTTCAATTTTTTGTAATTTCAATATTTCCTTTGTATAATTTGACATGCCAACAAAAAATAAGAACAATATTAAAGTTTATTATTATTATTATTACAAATAAAGGTAAATTTATTTGTGGTCACTGAACTTTTAGTAAATTCTAAGTTGAGTTAGTAAATTTTAACATGTCTCAATTGGGTTCAGATAATTGTATATTTTTGGATTACACCGTGAATGATATTGGCTCTATGTAGATGAAATCTGACCATTGATTGAAAATGATATTGTTAAAATCAATATACAAAAAAGCAGTCATCTCACACGATGTCAAACTTGAAGTACATATAGTAAATTTGAATTAAATTACTCTGTCATTTCTTATATCTCAAATTGATGAGAAATTGTTTGAGTGACCATTTTAATTTAATTCCTTTTGTGAAATACCAATTTGTCACAATTTCATATCAATAAAAAACGTATTTAACTTTTAATTCAAAGATATTTCTATCAATTAAGTAATTTATAGAAATATATGAGACAACAAGTAACAAAATGATGAAATTAAAGTTTAATAATTGAATTAAAATTTTGGAGTGAATTGTTTCAAAAATCACTGAACTTATATCATCGTCACAGACTGCTCACCAAACTTCATCATGCTTCACGGTATTCACTCAACTTTGTCATTTGTCTCTCCATCCACTACTGTCAAAAAATCCGTATGTTGAACGCTGACGTGGCGGACGGAATTTCTAGAAGGCGTTTGACGGCCGTTAAAGAATTACAAATCAACAAAAACATTATTTCATCACTCATCCAACTTACTTTAGGTCACAGTTTACTCATTGAACTTCAAAATACTTCCAAATGGTCACTCATCTTTAAGATATTGCACTTCATCCATTATCCGTCATATTTCGTTCTTTTTGTTATCAATATGTATATTGCAATAATAGTATTATGTTTATAAGTGTGTTGTATTATTTGTTTTGTCTAGTTCCTGATTATTTCCAACATGAAGGAGTCGGAGTGGAGACGGAGGCAGAAGGGTTTGTAATTGGGTCTAATGAATGTAATGTGGTATTGGGTTGAATTGAATGGTAATGAGCTTCAGTTATGGGCATTACTTTAAAAAAAATGGGCCTTCAGATTGAGCCCACAAGTTTAGTGCAGGCCTGTGCTTGCACTGGACTTCATTGGGCTCCGCCCCTGTGTAAATGGACAGGTATCCAGACGTCCACATTCTGAACCGAACGTACAAAAATAGCCATTGTACATCAGAAATCAGAACGATAAAAAAATGACCGTTGGATAAATTGAACGTCCGCTTGGATAGTTTTCTTGTTCGATTTTTCGATTTGAACATTTTGAATTTTGTAGATTGTGAAGGGCATTTTAAACTTATTTTCTAAGGTAAATAATATTATAAAATGTGATCTAAGTTTAAATATCATTTTGAAACTTTCACCTTTGAAAATTAATTTTTATACAAATGTTTTTGTTAGAATGACTTTTCGTGCATGGAAATTTGTTGTAAAGCTTTAATCATCAATTGCATAAGATTGAAGCATTTATAGCTTTACAAATGAATATGAGTGTCTAGTCTAAGATCTTTCTTTGACGTTTGACTTTTGAGGCTCTTTTCTCGAATGATTTGACTTAAACGTACGACTTTGATCTCAATCTTTATTGTGAGTTAGATTTGTAATATGAAAATTTTGATAGCGATCTTTTTGTCCATCATGATCGATCAATGTTACATCGAATGCTTTGAAAACTTAACTTCAATTGTTAGAAACAAAATTAACTTGTTTGTTATGACCCAAACATTAAGAATAAAATCAACCATAAGTCAATAGGGAGCACTTTGACAATTACGTTAGTCAACAATATAAGTGTGTTGGGTGTAGGACATGCTTTAGATGTGAGTCATTTGGGTGTTCGAACACCAAAGTGAGTGTATATATATGTAAAACGAGAAAACAAAGTTATAGTTGAATGTATAATGTTACATTATTTTCAAATAGTATTAAGCCCATGTTTGATTTACATTATTTTTTTCATTCTCATTATTCTACTCATTTTCAATCATACATTTTTCAATAAAATAATATTTCTTATTACATCAATAACTTTTCTTTCATTTTCAACCACATATTCCCCATCACATCACAAAAAAAAATGCATTCTCTTATTTTAATGTGCACCAAACAGGCTATAAGTATGAGTTTTTATAGTAGAAAATGTAAAATACTGACCATTGGATCAAAAGACACGTTATCTCATTTTGATGGCTGAGTTGTCTCCTCCTAGGCCTCAATCCATCAATCATAGGCTAATTGACATTTAATATTTTCTAAAAAGTAGCCACCCTAAAGTCTGGGTTTGACCTCTTAAACATAGATCGACGATTTGATCTTTATGCACCTACTACAGAAATGTCACATCAATCAATCGTAGGAAGATCTTGTACAAAAGATTTCTTGAAAGAGATGAGGTGGGAGATGCCTTTTATCAATCAAGAAAGCTAATTGCCTCGAATTTTCTCCCAGCAACATGTGCAACACCTCGCCTGCCCATGGAGGGGTCAACCCCATCATGACACCTCGACGGAAGCAATGCATCACATCGACTACATTATATATATTGCCTCACCTCGACTAGGTAGAATGATGATATGGAGTGTGGATCTGATTTGCTTGCTAACTGACTGTCACATGACGGTGATTTGGAACCTCAACATAAGAGGTGTAATAGTTTTCAAGAATAGAAGTAACAAATAAAATGGGGAAGAGCAAACATCTTTAATTGTTCGTGTTGGCAGGCTGGGTATTGTTGATTGTTGGATTCAATTTATTTTGAATTTGTTGTTTGCTTTTACACATAACCTGGTGAAGTAACCCTAGACTATGGGCATATTTTTTTCTCAATTATTGTTGTGTAAAGTAACATATTATTTTCTATCAGAAAAGTAAAAATCAAAGAACATAAATCACACCATTTCACAATTATGTAATAGATGAATTGATGTAGGACTTGTTGACCCTCTAAATCAAAACTTTGAAAAATAAAGAAAGAAAAATAATGTTTGTAGCTCTAGTAAATATTTGACTCCAACAGTCTACCTTAATAGATTTCAATTTTTTGTAATTTCAATATCTCCTTTATATAATTTGACATGCCAACAAAAAATAAGAACAATATTGAAGTTTATTATTATTATTATTATTATTATTATTATTATTATTATTATTATTATTATTATAACAAATCAAGGTAAATTTATTTGTGGTCACTGAACTTTTAGTAAATTCTAAGTTGAGTTAGTAAATTTTAACATGTCTCAATTGGGTTCAGATAATTGTACATTTTTGGATTACACCGTGAATGATATTGGCTATATGTAGATGAAATCTGACCATTGATTGAAAATGATATTGTTAAAATCAATATACAAAAAAACTGTCATCTCACACAATGTCAAACTTGAAGTACATGTAGTAAATTTGAATTAAATTACTCTGTCATTTCTTATATCTCAAATTGATGAGAAATTGTTTAAGTGACCATTTTAATTTAATTCCTTTTGTGAAATACCAATTTGTCACAATTTCATATCAATAAAGAACGTATTTAACTTTTAATTCAAAGATATTTCTATCAATTAAGTAATTTATAGAAATATATGAGACAACAAGTAAAAAAATGATGAAATTAAAGTTTAATAATCAAATTAAATTTTTGGAGTGAATTGTTTCAAAAATTACTGAACTTATACCATCATCAAGAACTGCCCATCGAACTTCATTCTGCTTCAAGGTATTCGCTCAACTTTGTGATTTACTTCTACATTCACCACTGTCAAAAAATTCGTTTGTTGGACGCTGACATGGCGAACGGAATTTCTAGGTGGCGTTGACGGCCGTTAAAAATTACAAATCAGCAAAAATATTGTTTCATCACTCATCTAACTTACTCTAGGTCACAGTTTAATCATCGAACTTCAAAATGCTTCACAATGGTCACTCATCTTTAAGATATTGCACTCCATCCATTATCCNGGTGATTTCCATTGTTGATGGTTTGGTAGAGTTATAATTTTTTTTTGATGATTTTAATTACCCGTGAAATTTTCGGACAATAAATTAGCAATGAAGTGAATAAAATATGACGAATAATGGATGGAGAAAAATTCTTAAAGATGAGTGACCATTGAGAAGTATTTTGAAGTTCGATGAGTAAATTGTGACATATTGTAAGTTGGATGAGTGATGAAACAATAATTTTGCTGATTTGTAATTTTTTAACGGCCGTCGACGCCACTTATGAATTCAGACATCGACGTCAGTGCCCAACAAACGGATTTTTTGACAATGGTGGATAGAGAGGTAAATGACAAGTTGAGTGAGTACTGTAAAACAGAATGAAATTCGATGAGCAATCTGTGAGATAGTATAAATTCAGTGAATTTTGAAACAATTCACCCCAATTTTGAACCGACTACGAAAGACTAATAAAAATATAAAATACTGGCGGGTCCCACTGAAAAAACCCTTATTCAACCTTCTCCCCACGTTACCCTAGTCGTATTCCCAAAATTGTGCTTTTACTTTTCTGCGTATGAATCAAATTCCAACTACTCTTCTCAGCGTTAAACAGTTTTGATTGATAAATTTTCAGGAAAAATAAGACAGCTGAATTACAAGGATCAAATTTGAGATGGCAAAATTGTATGTGCAGGCGGTGCCGACTACGGATCTGAATCGGAACACGGAGTGGTTCACGTACCCCGGCGTATGGACTATCTACATCCTAATACTGTTCTTCTCGTGGCTGGTGGTGCTCTCTGTTTTCGGTTGTTCTCCCGGCATGGCCTGGACAATTGTCCACCTCTCTCATTTCGTCGTGAGTTTTAAATTTATTCATTAATTAATCAATTCCTTTTCCCCCCCCTTCTAACGCAATACAAATGTTTTCGTTTATGTCCTCGTGGAGATGTTTGAATTATGATATTTTTTTCTTGTTTTTTTGCTTTCTGAAAATAAAGTGAGAAAATTATTTATTCAATAATTGACGTTTCAACTTTATGTATATTGAAGGTGTAATTTAGCACATTTATTTTGGCTCTAGTCATCTATGATTACTAGTGGAACTACACGAATACCCTGTGGAATTCAGTAGTGACGGGCTTCTATGGTGAACGCTATAGGAATGGTATACCTCGTGATTTTGTGGCATTTCGCTTAAGGCAGAAAAAGTTCTGTTGATTGAATATTTATAGATAGGATATTATAACGAAACTATAGGAAGTACCATGTCTTGGGATGTGTCACTTTTATATAGGCAAGGCAACTATGTTCTGTGTTGAAAGATGAATGAATAGCAAGATTTAAAATCTTCACTAGAAGCTAAATTAGCTCATAAGCTAAATTAGTTTATGGATAGAATATAATAATGAAAACTATAATAAGTACTATGTCATCGTATATGTCACTTCTTTATAAGAAACTATGTTCCGTGTTGAAAGATGAAGAAGCTAAATTAGTTCATAAGCAATTTCTTGGAAATTTTCAATTTTAGTGGGCTTTCACTGTTTTTTTTTCTTTCTATGCTAGAACTTGCATAAATTTTATGCAATTTATGGTGCGTTTTCTTATTTACATTCAGGTTACATATCAGTTCTTTCACTGGAAGAAGGGAACACCATTTGCGGAAGACCAGGGTGTCTACAATAGGTTGACTTGGTGGGAACAAATAGAAAATGGCAAGCAGCTCACTCGCAATAGGAAATTCTTGACTGTGGTCCCTGTTGTGCTGTAAGATATTTATTTTGATTCTTTTCAAGAACTAATTCTTCCTCGAGTTGTGGTGTATATTTGTCATTCCTACAACTTTGGTCTCGTAAAGTACCATTGAAATCTATAAAGATATTGGGGTTTGAACCAGTTCTTGTGTGACTGTGCCTTTATGCATATAGGTACTGACATTTAGTGTATGCATGATCGATAAAAAATATTCTAGCCTTTATTTTGTCATTGCCATAATGCTCAAGGGTCATATCACCAATGCATTTGCTCCATAGAGGTTGAGAATATAATATAGTCAGTATTCAGCATTGATATTCTGTTAGCCGATGGATGCATGTATACAAACAAAGGGGCAAATTTTGAAATACTTATCATATATTCGTTGCATTTTCCTTTATTGCCTTGTCACATAGCTGGTTGAGATTGTGAATGTGAACCTCCACCATGGCTCATAATGCTTTGAGATTTGATTTGTATACATGTTTGATGTCTCAATATCACAAATAAACTGTTGGCATCTAAGCTCTCCACTGTTCAAATGGAAGTTATATTTTCCACCGCGATATGATAATGTAAGCTGTCTATTGCGTGTTTTAGTTAGCAGTCTCTAAATATGATAAGTGTTCCCTGTCTATTTCTATTTATTGCATACATTTGAAGCCCTCATTTTGGAAAATGAGAAGTTATACAGAACTTAACAAATTATTTAATGTTATATGCATTGAAATCTTATTTTTTATTATTATTATTATTATTGTTGTTGTTGTTGTTGTTGTTGTTGTTGTTATTATTATTTTGTGCAAATCATTCTAACTCTTAATGTGGAACATCTCAGTACCATCCGGTGTGCATAACTTGTGAACTAGTGGTATCTGCAGTAGATAACCGATTTGTTGTCATTGGATATGATAAGCTTCATACCAAACTGCTAAATATTCGCAATTCCTTGAAACTGATTCTGAAAAGTACTGAGCTAGCATTACAAAATAAATTCTGATACTTGGCCTCAAAATATAATTACTTTGATAATGAACTCAGATGAAATAACCTTTTTATTCAACATTTTTAACCTTTTACATGCAGCAACACAATTCATCTGAATTTTGAAAATCGGTGCTTGAAAGGATGTGTAACTAATGTGAAGCTTTATATCTAAGTAATAATTTCGCAATTCTGCTATAATTAATGAATTGCTACCGAGAAAAAAATGGACCATGGCTAACATATAGTATCCTTTGTGCAACATCCGTCAAAAATGTGCAATATGATGTTAAATAAATGTTACTAATTGGAAGATACTTTTATGATTGGCGATGATCAATAAAATCTTATAATGTGGTATTCTTTGGGTTTCTTCTGAGCATACGATTGAGGAAGAGACTAGGTGACCCTTCTCAATTTGGAAACTGAATCAAGATACTTGATGCTTGGGTTAAGTTCATCACAGATATTTCGTTTGAGGCTCGGGTAGCTACGAAACTGAGTTGAACGCATTTTGGAGTTTGTGAATTTTATGAAGGTTGGTTTGATAAGCTAAAAATAAGAATATTTATAGAAAAGGGTGCAAGCTAGTTGAGCTTGATTCGCATTTAACTTGTTAATCTCTTCTAGGATTATCTCATTAAGAAGTTTAACTGAGCTTGATGTCATGGACTTAGTTTTGTTTTAAACGACAAACTAGAACCATGTGACCTTAACGTTTAACAATTCTCGTCCTCACGAGAAAACGTTAAGTAAGCATTTGACTTCCCACAAAAATTTAACATTTCAAGTTAAATTATTGCAACTTTAAGCAAATGATATAATGTAGGAAATTATATTGAAACCAAATTAAGTTTGGGAGAATCTCCTCGTATTAATGAAAGGGAAAACTCTACAATTTCTCAAGATTTACCTTACTCAACTCCAGGCATTTACAAATGAGCTAACACGCTTATTTATAGACGAAGTCTTGCAAGGCAAGTTAAAATCAATGGTCAAGATTAAATGGATCCAATTGCCATAATTGTTTACAAGTTGCAAATCATATTCATGCAAGTGGTAGCCAAATTAATTTTTGTTTTTTTGCAAGTCAGTTTACAATTCTATAGAAGTTGGCATGTCCCTTTATGGAGTGGTATTCAAGTTGAACTTTTCTTTTTTCCTTTAAATAAGTTGTAGTTAAGTTGTATTTTGCTTCTTATCTTCATGCAAGTGCAAAAGCTGGTGTCTACTTGCATTTAAAATCAATAGCTGCAGTTTACGGTATTTAATACTTCAAACGATGGTTTTTGCTTAGAAAAATTTGGTTTCCTTGCCTGCGCCTAGCTGCATTTTTTTTGCCCGCGTCCCATGTCGCATGCAGATCCATCTTTTTAAAGCGTCCTATCTACGCTAATTTTTCCGGTCGTTACCTAGACGGATCGACCACGACCAGGGGGATGTAAGTCACCACCCCACTAAATTAAGCGACGCCCTCGTCGTCGTGTAATGCTGAAATTTAGACTTAAATTGACCGGTAAAGTGTCAAAGAGCCTTTGATGATTTAAAGGATGGGGTTGTGGCGGAATCAGTGTTGACGTTGCTAGATTTCAGCAAAAAGTTTTGAGCAAAATTTTGAAGTATAGACGGATGCTTCGGACTTCACCATTGGGGTTGTGCTTATGCAAGAAGGCCACCCTATTGCCTTTGAGAGTCGGAAGTTGAATGATACCGAGTGAAGATACACGGTGCTAGAGAAAAAACTGACAGCCATTGTGCATTGCCTACGGGTATAGCGTCATTAATTGTTGGGTTCCCAGTTTGTTATTAAAACGGATAATGTGGCAGCAAACTATTTTGAATCCCAAAAAATGTTGAGTCCAAAGCAAGCTCAATGGCAGCACTTTTTGGTAGAATTTGATTGTGTTTGAATATAAATTTGAAAAAGCTACGCACTTAGCCCAGAAGGTGAAATTGGCACCAATTAGTCATGCAACGGGTACTTTGCAGGAGTCGATTAAACAAGGGATGGAACATGACCCGATGGCAGGAAATTTGATTCAGGCTGCCCAAGAGGTCGAGACTCGGCGATTTTGGATTGAAAATGGGTTTTTGTATACCATTAGGCAAAGCGTATTTGTGCCCAAGTGGAATAATTTGAGGCATGACGTGATTCGGGAATGATGCACTACAAAGTAGGAGAATAAAGTAGACCTATGGCAATTTAAGTCCAAGCTTCGGCATTACATGGCGACAAGGGTGTCGCCTAATTCGGTGGAATAACTTACATCCTCCTAGATCGCGATCGACTCGTTTTGGCAACGACTAGAAAAACTAGAGCAGACATGGCACTTAGGCAGAATTGCTTGCGTCGGGAGGCAAGAAAAACGTGGACAAGCTGTGCAGACATGGAATCCAGATTTTTCTTAAGTTATAACCATCATTTTGAAGGATTAAATACCATGGACTGCAACCGTTGGTTTTGGACGCAAGTTGGCGTCAACTTGTACAACTTTGCTTAAAAGAAGAAATAAAGTTAACTTGACTTCAACTTGCTTAAAGGAAAAGGCAAAGTTCAACTTGAATACTGCTCCTATAATGGATGCCAACTTACATGGAGTTGTAAAGTAAATTATAACATGCATAGAAGCAAAAAACAATTTGGCTATCACTTGCATGAAAGCGACTTGCAACTTATAAGCTATTATAGTCATTCGATCCATTAAATCTAGGGCCTTGATTTCAACCATCTTTCAAGACTTTGTTTATAAATATATGTGTTATCTCATTTGTTAATGTCAAGGAGTGAAGTGAGATAAATCTTGAGCGATTGTAAAAAAATTTCTATTCATTAATACATGGAGATTATTCCAAACTTATGTGTTTGTTCCTTTCAATATAATTTCCTACTTTATATCCTCTACTCAAAGATGCCATAATTTAACCTTAAAGGTTAAATTTTAGTGGGAAGTCAATGGCTGACTTAACGTTTTCTCGTGGGGATAGAAATTGTGAAACGTTAAGGCTGTACGGTTCTAGTTTATCAGTTGTAACAAAACTAAGTCCGTGCCACGTGGTATCAGAGCGGGTCTGCTCCGAACGCTGCGTTGGTTTGCGAGAGACTAATAGCGCCTGTTCCTGTGGAAACAATTTTGGGATCGCCAAAGATTGGATGAAGCCACAAGATGTGTGTTAAAGCGGGTGGCAAGCAAATGGAATTGATGGTGGAAAGCTTTATGGATTATGGAAGCAGGGGCATGTGTTACGCAGTTTTGCCTAGTACACAAATGTTGTTTCTTAAAGCGTGATAAAGTACTGCAAAAGAAATCAAAAGTAGAGGCATTTATGTTGAATGCTTCGACATGCTCTACGGACAGAGAAGCCGTCCAGCTGAGGAATCAATGCAAGGGTAGCAGGTGAAAGTTGGTGTCAAAGGCGGCATGGACAAGTTACTGCGGGAAGAGGTGCAGCGCCACTATGAACGCCTGTCCATCAAAAGGATGGTGCCGCAATTGTGGAGAATTCTCGTACCCATTGACGTGGAGGAGAATGCAGTGATGAAATAGCGCGAAAATGCGAGTTTAAAGTCGAATTACGAGAATGTACACTAACGGTGTCTCCATAAGTAAATATGATTGTAAGCTTTCTTCTCAGAGTATATTGTACTTATATATCTTGACTTGTCTGCCCGTGTGTGTGGGAGGCTGTCCCGAGGACTGCTAAGAACCTGGGGGCTAGACATGCAGTCTGTTATACGTCGAGTCACGGGCTATTCGTCATACGTGGTATACCTCTTCCGCGTGTCTTTCACGTGGAGGGAATGGAAGAACAAGGTAAAACCCAGTCACATAAGAGGTATACCACGTATGGTGGACGGTTCGTCCGGCCCCCAGGTTCTTGACAGTCCCCGGTGCAAGCCTCTCACACACACGGGCCGGCAAGCCAAGTATATAATATAAACACAATATATTTTGAAAAGGAAGCTTGCAATCATATTTGTATATAGAGACACCGTTAGTGCATTTTCCGGTAATTTGACTTTAAACCCGCATGAAGCAATCTTGTCGTACCACATGGGTAGGGGACTTCACAGAGCCCATGACTTTGAGCTCAATTTGAAAGCTCGTATGACGTATCAAAGTATAAACAGCCAATTGTTTGGCTCATATGCACCTCTAGGCTATGCCTAACGTTCTCTTTTGTTACCCTAAGACAAACTATTTCAGGGGAGTTTAGTTAAATACTGAAATGAAGTACATTTTTGGTATGACAGTTTGTTTTGGGGTTGAGGTAGTGACTGTCCAATTCCTTGTTGATGAATTTATTTTACTTTGTATAATGCCTCCACTTCTGCTCACTGATTAAAATTCTTGTGTTGTATTGCCACTTGGCTTTATGGCATTTTATGTTCATATATTTTCATTTGTCTCACTGGTCTGGAGTATTTTCTCGAGGGCTTTACTATATATTTGCTTTAATACTTGTACACATACCTAGATACTTCATTCGTTTTTCCATTTTTTGGGTGGTGGACAGCCCTTTGGGCACCGGCTTTATATATTCTAAGAAACATCATTTTTAATAGGAGTGTTTTGACTTCTCAAGCTGGAAGTGTCACTTTTCCGACTAAATGAAGAGGAAATTCCTTTGTTTACTTTGCTTCCGAAGGCTTGCCTAATCGTGTCAAAGAATATTTTCTAAGATTATCTTATTTCTTTCTCATCTTCGTTTCTTTTGGCAGGTATTTGATAGCCTCGCATACAACAGACTATCAACACCCTATGCTCTTCTTCAACACGTTAGCAGTTTTCATTCTGGTTGTTGCCAAGTTCCCACATATGCATAAAGTTCGTATTTTTGGAATCAATGCCGATCAATGATCTGAGATCCATTAGATATTCCAGTGCAGTTTTAGCCTGATCTACAATAATTACATCATTATGGTATGCTGAATAGTTTTTGTATGAACCCCCTTGTACAAGTCCAATTTGATAAATATGCATAAGCTACAAAAAATTTCTTGTTTCCTATTGTATACGATATTCAGAAACTTGAGTAGCTATTTTTCTATAAACACTGTAACTGGATGTTTATATTTATTTTGTTTAATGGCATGAAGTTATTCAACTAGCTGACTTAGAACATGTTTGGATGTTCTTATAGAAAGCATCTGATGCTGCCTAAAAAACACATTTTAGTTGCTTTTAAGTTCATCCTTTGAAAACCATGATTGACAAAATAAGTAACTTAAAATGATTCAAGCAGATGGAGAAGATACAATCAAGATTTATTTATTTATTTTTGTTGCAAGAATTATAGACATCCACTAATAGTTTGACAAGTACATGAGCAGGCTGTGGGTTAGACGTATTTTGCAACTGAATCTGGTACTAGTAGTGAAGTGTGAAATCTAACCTTAGAAGTTAGAACAGATTATGATGGCAGGGAGCATGGTGAATGACAAATCTGGTAATGGTTAGTTGGTGCACATGAAGTGCAGTTGCATTGTCGTTCAATGTTACTCACAGTTACCAGTTTAGCTCAGAAACGACAAACTATGTAGACTTGATGATTAAGATATGGAAAAAATATATATATCTTATAAATGGATTTGAAATGAAGACTTGTGACATAAGAGTCAACCGCTCTTCTGTTTTGGAGCCAAAATTATATGGACAATAAATCATAAAAAGAATGAAAAATGGGGCTCGGTCTTTTCATCCTTTCAGCTAGGTGGTTTTGGTCCTTTAGTTTTAAAAAGTGAGGTTCTAAGCCCCTTACCTTATTTGAATTCTTGAATTTTGATCCTTGCATAATAGAACTTGTTAAAATCATAAGCGACTTTTACGTAACTTAAAACCGGATGTTGAGAAGATTGTGAGTGTTTTCCTTCGGCTTTGAGTCGTGAAATTAAATGTCTATTGACAGCATTTGTCATGTGGAGATCCAATTCAAATCCCGAAATGAAAGCAGTTCACATTTGCTATTTGTTTTGGTCCTTGTTCCAGATCCACGAAAGGTCTAGTCGATGGAAAAAAAATCCATGTTCAAGTTTTATTACCTAGTGGGAGCTGCTTTCATCTTTGTATACTTACTCAGATAAAGGCCTATTACAGAGATTGGGTAACATGAAGAGAGACATAAGGTATTTAAATACGTTAAAAGAGTTCAAGAACCTTACTTTTGAAGGTTGTGAATATAAAACTACACTAATTGAAAGCTTAGGGAACTCAATCTTATTTTTTCCTAAAAAGGAAACGGTACACGGGTACGGTATTGGCTTGGGCACACTATTCAAATAAATAAATAGGTATCAATTTCAATAATTTAAACTTTTAGATGATGTTTAATATGAGAGAAAATATATAGGACTCCTATGATATGAAACTCGGCAATCTTTGTCACGATTTAATTAACATGCATGTGCACTATTATTGAAAAATGTATGGGTCTCAATTATTCATTGTACTAAATAGTGACAGAGAGTACTCATTACTTCATATTATGATAATCCTATAAACTTTTCCTTAACCTTTCTCTCTTTTTACAAACACCACCTTAACCTAAAAACAAATCAATTCTCAAATAAAAAACAAACACCCCCTTAACCTTTCTTTCTTTCTACTTCGGAATGCTTAAAAGTCAACACCAGTTTAAGTGACTCCCTCTCTAAACCTAAAAACCTCTTACCAGCCAGCTCTACCCACCATTGCTTCTTTATTTTATTAAGGATTTTATATTCTAAAGCATATAACTTCCACAACCCATACTTGGCTTTCCATTTTCAGTTTTCTAGCTTCCATTTTCCATCTAAATCAAGCCACTGAAAAATATATTTTAGTTGGAACAGTAGTATATGTACACGTAATACGATGACAAATTTTCTTAACATTTTGAATCTTAAACTAGTCAAATCATGATACATCGATCGAATATAAATTGGTTCATCCACCCACTCTTTTCCTCTCTAAGACCCACTAAATGTCCAAAGTGTGTCAATTTCGATTTTTAAAGAGTCATAAAATAAATAATGCATAGAATATTACATTTCTCACTGCAAAACCTAAATTTGGCCACCAAAATGGACCTTTAATATAATGGTGGTGCGGTATGTATGGCCCCGTAATTAAGCACAAGGCACTCAGTGGTTTACAGCAAAGAACAGGAAATCACGTGCATAAACAAATATTGGGGTTTAGATCTAGATGGATTTTGGAATATGAGTACCTTCGATCGAGTGTAAATATGTATTTTTAAAATCACTTTTGCATTCTGATTTACATTCCGAAAAATATAAATTCACATTTTGCCACTTGTGGATTATATATATTTTTTTGTAGAAAAATATAATTTGGATCCCTTTCGCATTTCCTAATTGGAGAGGTTTTCGATCATTTTGAAAATTTAGTGCATGTTTGACATTCATTACTTTATTTTATAGTTTGCTACAGGATAATTTGCAACCATACATTCGCATAATAAAATAATCTATAATGGTCGTGAAACTGAATCTATAATAGTTTCCTATTTTTTAACTGCATATTCTTCTGAACATCACTATTTAAAACTCATTTTTTCTACCATAATGGTGGTGAAACTGACTCTTAAATTTCTATTTTACTCCACAAGATGCTCTAAGTGGGGTGGGGGTGGAAATAATTCTTGAACGCACTAGCCAAGGGGAATGTTTGTGGGACCCTAGGATGACTAAAATCAGTAGAGTTTGTCAGGTCTTTCTCAATATAAAGAGAGAGAAACATGAATGGGCATGGCATGGGGGACCTAATCATCATCTTCTTGAAAATAACCAAAAGACTATTAGCACATTATGTAAATATGGCAATGTGATGCAATTGAATTAGTCTTCACAGTTAGATTAGTTAAATCTTTTCCAACAGTCATTGAATTGGTCTTCACACTGTTATTTTGAATACACAAGTCGGATTAGGTAAGAGCTGTCCCAAATACACCTTCTGGTAGGGTAAACTAGATCCTATACAAAACTATACTTACTAGACGTGCTTTATGTGTACGTAGAACTAGAATTAGAACCGGGGCCTGTTTGTTTTGGATTAAAATTTGATTTTAATCTAAATTAAAGTCAAACAATCAATATTAACCACATATTTCATGGATCCTACAACTTTTCAACCTCACATTTCAAAAATTTCTATCACAATCTATTATTAAAAATCTAATTTCAATCCCTACCAAATAACTCACAGTATAGTATTAAAACAAACCCGGAAATCAAAACTAGCTCCTTCAACTCCTTCCGATGTACTTGCCTCCTGAAGACATTGTCTTGTATTGAAAACAAAGACTAGCTCATAGTATGCACAAGAAATAGGTTATGTTGTTCAATCTCCAGATACTGATTATACAAATTATTATGGCTGGGTTTGCCCATCAAAAATCTGGGCTGGCTTAAATTCATCATCATCTTGTCTTCTATCACTACACAGTATCCCAAATAGTAACTTAAAGAGAAGCCGAAACCTAAACAAACTTCAAACTCCTATCTTGATCAGACATCAAAGATAAGTGAAAAGGAGAGGAAAGAAACCCTTGTACTGTATGAGTTAGCAGTTTCTTGCAATATCCAAACAAAGTAGCCCCACATCAAAGCACTAAAAGAAAAACCCATGGAAAAAAACAAGAATAAAAACAATTCCTGGATAATTGTATACTTCAGTTGATTTTTTTCGTTTTTCTTTACCATGATCCTCCTCCTATCATTCCATTCCAGTATCCAGTCGAATCTCCATGTTGATCTCTATTCAGCTCGGCATGATCGGTTGTATTATTGGTGGTGCTTGAGACCTGCTTCAAATCTTCAAATGGAAAAGGAACTTTCCCATTTGTCTCTTGTACTCCATGGAAACTCCCATAAGCAGTACTAGTTCCAATGTTTCCATTCAAAGAAAAGTTCAAAGAGGGTTGATGATGATCAGGTAAGAAAGAAAAGCTGGATGAGTAAACTGTATTTGGCTCGGTAATTAGCATTGGAACGAACGAATTTAAGCCATTTGATGTTGAAATTCCAGTCAAGAGTTCCATAGCTGAAAGGTGAGATGAAGGTGAAGAAGAAGAAGGATTGTTTAATTCCTTGCTCCCATTAATATCAAAGTTGGGAACTTGAATCAGTTCATTTATAGCCTTGAAATCATTCTGGGTCGAATATTCCAAGTTGAGTTCTTGGTTACCATGAACTTTATGGTTTTGTAAAACTAGATCAGGAACTTTTTTCGACGAAACTGAAGGAGAAGAAGAAGAAGAACTAGCAGTGTTCAATGATCTTCTGTTCTTTCTTGAACCCCCTCCAACAGGAATATTTCTTAAAGATCCACCTTCAGTCCAATATCTTCTGCATGTCTTGCAAAAATACCTTGGCTGTGAGAGACTGTAATTGTTGTAATAGCAAAATTTTGTGTTTGTTGAATTGCACCTTGGGCAATTCACAACTTGTTCTTTCTGAGACCTGATTTTCCTTTCCAAAGAGGGTTTTGGACATGTATTTGTGACTATTTCTTCCATTGGTTTCATCACTATATCCTAAAAAAAACCCAAAAGAAAATCATAAAGTATGAAAATTTGCATAAAGATACCATATCAAGAACAAACAAATTAAGAAAACCAACTCCCATAATTTCACAGCAAAGCATATACATACAGGAGAGAAACAAACAAACAAACAACAGTCAGGTGCTTTACACTTTTTTAAAGATCAGGACAGAAGGAAAACAAGAAAAAGTGAAGAAGAAATAAGTAGATTAACAAATATATAATCTTTTTTCAGTCTACAACAAAAGCAAAAGAGAAAGTACATAAATAGAAAACAAGCTTTATAAATTTATTTATTTTTTAAAAAAATCAACTTTTAGAAAAGCATATATATGATATAAAGAAGAAAGCTGATAAACAGAAAAACAAGGGATCATCAAAAAAGAGTTATGGATCTCAATACCTGCGGCCATTTAGCAGTATCCATGGATGAAGAAGGATCAAGATGAAGAAAGGCAATGGTATTTTCAGAAGAGAAAAAATTCCTGCTTTCTTGCAAGTGGTTTAAAAAAGCAGTGAAAGAAATGTTTGAGAATGTATATGTGGAATGTTCTATGTGCCTTATGTATGTAAGAGAGGGGTGTGGGTGGGATAATTTTTTATGTTAAATTAAATATTTATTTTTGTTGGTTCATCCCAGAATTATATGTTGAAGGCACTATATATATCTTATTCTATATAAAAAATTGGATATTTATATTATAATTTTTTTTTGAAGGGAGAAATGTATCAATCCTTGTGAAAACAACAATTTCTAACTAATCAGGACAAAGAGAATTGATAGTTTAACAATAAAGTATCAAAATAAGGTATGTGTAATAAAAAAATGAAATTGTTCACTAGTTAAGGTATGCGTAATTTTAGACATTGTCTATTTTTTTTTTACTACAATATCGTGACAAAATTCCTGAAAGCTTGCTGTTTTGGAGAGATTCTTTCAACAATAAGTATTTTACTCAAGTATTATGAGCAATCGATTGAAGCATTAGAGATTTTCTACTCAATCGACGCTTATTAATGTATTTTGAATCATTGAAGAAGAAACGAAAAGGGTTTGCGGAATTATATTGTCAAGAATTTACAATTTTGAAAAAAAAAATGAGTTTCTAGCAAATAAAAAATGAAAAAAAAAAAAAAACACGTGTNAAAAAAAAAAAAAAAAAAAAAAAAAATGAAAAAAAAAAAAAAACACGTGTGAATGAAAATAATTCTGAGAAAAAAATGATTTTAATAAAATATTTGACAAACAAGCCACTTTGCAGAGTAATAATCCTTTTAAAAATTAGGGGTGATTAAGGTTACGCTAAAGAATTAAGGAGTGGGAAGTTAGATTATCCTAATCTAGAGTTTATTTTTAATTAAGAATAATTATATTCAGGCCACACTCTTTATTTCTTGCACCATATTTTTTAATCTTTTTTCATTATAGCAATTATGTCTCTAATTATTTTTCATATCATTCTTATCCTTAAATCTTTCCATTAATTAACATTTTGTATTTGATAACAGTTTTATATCCAAAAGTCCGTCGAAGTGACTAAAATAACTTATTTTTTCATCAGATTTAAAAAATAATAATAATAAAAAGTACAAAAAAAAAACATTTTCCCCTCATTTTAAAACATGAAAATAAAATATTTTTATATAAATCATCATTAAGGAATATGAGGTAATTAATGAAAAGTTGAAGATAAGAATTCGAAAAATAAAAATAAAAATAAAGGAATAAATTGTTACAATGAGCAAAAATTGAGAAGTTTAACTACAATTAAAATGTACTGTATCAAATAAAAATTGTGATGACAATATAATCACCTATTTATTTATTTATTTGTCGTTTCTATGTGAGTTGTCACATTTTTGGTCCTAGTGCCCGTGGAGGATGCTAACAAGTTGGAGCCTTGGTGACACGAACAAAAACATAGTATAGTTTACCTTTGACAATCATTATCGGAAAACTTTTTTTTATATATACACATTTTCAACAACACATCTACACAATAAAATACTTTGCACATAAACCAAAAAACTTTTTTTTTTTTTTTACTTTTTAACTAAATATTCTCTTAAAAATTCACTATTCAAAATATTATTTTGACCATAAAAGAGGACTTAACTTGTTCTTATATAGAATGACTTTTTTCAGTTAAGATATTTCAAAATCGTATTTATCTTCTTTTCCATTAAAGTAAATTACAAATAAATCTCCGAAACTTTATTACAATAATAGAAATACTTCATATTTTTTTCAAAAGAAATCCAAGCTATAAACTTTTTATGCCAATTTTTTGCATACTTATAATATGATGATAATATTGTTTAAATTTTCTAATAGTAAAAAAAATGTAAATGTCCAAAGTATAAAAAAAATAAAAATTAGAGAAAATGCTATTAAATCTAGTAATATAATATATTTAATGAATTTTCAATTCGCTTTATAAAATAATTCTATTACATTTATTTATATTGACTTGTTTATTATTTGTTAATCGTATTCGCAAAATAAATCACATTTTATAGTTTATGTAAATTTTCCAATTATATTTGTAAATTTTTCTCTAAAAATAAATTTAGAGAAAAGGCAAAAGTATAGTAAAAAATGAAACAGAAAGCAACTACTATTTATTTAATCTTTTATATTTTGAAAAGAAGAGAAAAACAGACATAAAATACTTCTATAAACCAAAAAAAGGAAGACCATCAATTGGTGGCGGAGGGACGCCGTTAGATGTAGTGGTGGGTGGTGGGCCGATGGAGGGACCGCCGGGAAGGATCGGGACGAAACAAAACGTGTCCAACTTTTAGGTTGACCCTACAGTAGTGATGGGAAGTGTAGGGCGGTGGTGTGATGTGGTGGTGGAGTGTGGGGCCCTTAAAATAATGTACATTTCCTTCCTACCTAACCAAGCAAGGAATAATACTGCACCTTAGATTGATCGTGTCCGCTCTTAAAATTCGACGATGATGTCCCGTTAGTACTAGGTGCAGGTCAAATTGACTGTCGTTACAAGTGCGTTTACACGTCAGCTTCTAAGTAAATTAATATAATATATGTGAAAACGCGTTTGTAAATAATTTAAATATAAAGAAATATGATGGATGAGTGAATAATATTTGTGATTTTTTTTGAATTGTATGAATAAAAAATTAAATTCGAAATTACTATTTAAATCTTAACTTGTCCAGCAATAAGAAGTACAAACATAAATCTCATGTGGTCACGTCCAACTTATGTGCTTTTTTTAAGTATTTAGCATAATCGTTGATATAGGATGATATCAATAATGATCTACAATAGCCAAAAGGTGAGGATTGCTTGATAGGCATACAACGTAGAACACCTCATGTTAGGCCGACTACCACCATAAAACTCTCTACGTTCACATGGGCCCTCTACCACTACTGGCCACCTACAACCACGAGGCTGTCGACTACCATGAGGCCTTATGCGTTCACATATGCAGTCTACCACTATAAGCCGTTGACTACCATGAGGCACTCTACGTTCACATGAACTATTTAACACTATAGGCCGACTACCACCACGAGGCCGTCGACTACAACGAGACACTCTAAATTCGTATGTGTCATCTACCAGTACAAACTGTCTGTCACTATGAGGTCAACGCCACACTTAACCCAAAAAATGGCCATGAATCGGATGGGAACCACTCAACGACATCATTGTTACAACCAACCACTAAAGAAGTTGAGATCATCCTTTCAGAACATTGGGGGAGTGGGAGGAGTTTCGTGGGACACGTTGCATTAATAACTGCTGAACAGGTACGTTGCGTTAGGGGCCTAGAAATACTTCTGAGATGGGAAATAGATGGACGGAGGAACTCGAACTATTTGAATATCAATTGCGTTTCCTATTTTCCTAAACCCTCTACTGATTCTCAAGCTGGAAGTACAACGGGGGAGGAAGTCCCAACCTCATTTTGTAGGTAGCGTTTATCTATTGTTATTAAATTTGAAATTACTATTTAAAGGTGATGCTGCCGAAAGTGTAAAAATGGATTAAATAACATTTACAAACACATATTCATGCAGGAATTAACTATTGAGTAGATAACTGAAGAACGGTCTTCAAATATTTTATTAATATTCATAAACAACCTCTTATAATTAAGGGTGGGTATTTTTTCGGAATTGGATAAAATTGATTGATTTGGCTTTGGTTTCTTTTTTAAATACATCGAATATGGAACCATGCATCGAGAATCGATCGATTTCGATCTTTCTTGTATTGGCTTATGAACCAGCAGTTGATTCGCTTCTCACTAATTTCTCTTTTTGCTTGTCATGTATTGAACAAATATGCAACACATATTTTAACAATAGACCCCAAAATTATCTCAAGTCAAAATTTCATTTTTCATATGCTTCTTCTTTCACTACTATATAAAAGAGTGAGTTCCATTTTTACTGTTCATAAGCCGCAAGCCAAGCCGAATGGCTTTTTGACTCTGCTCGTCTAAGCCCTTTTTTTTCGTTCGATATTTCCTATCCTACATCCTTCCTATCCTACTCCTACATAAATAAAAGAGTGAGTTTACTCGGTACTATTCACAAGCCAATTGGCCAACTAAACCTAGTCGAGTTAGTTTAGCCGGTGAAGCTGAGCCATTGTCCTTCCTTTTTTATCAGAACTGTTTTATTTTTCTTTAAAAACCATTCCCGTCTCACACGCAGCCATCATTTCTTTCTTTTCTCCAATTTCTTCTCACTCTTTCTCCATTTCACAAGCAACAATCATTTCTTTCTTCATTTCCCAAAACCACCGTTCTTCTTCTTCTTCTTCTTCCTTTTTTTTTTTTTTTTTTTTTCTTTTTGTTTTCTTTTCTTATTTTTTTCTTTTTTTTTTTTTTTTAATATTTATTTTTTTTTTTT